CTGCCACAGTTGTCACCCACAGCGAATCTGTGTGTTTGGCTTTTTGCAATGGCTATAACATCACAGAAGATGTTCCGTTCCCTTCTGATAGAATCCTGTATAACTGACCCTTGTTGTTTGGTCATCAGGAAAATTTTATATTCTTCAGTAACTGACTAATCAGGACAGCTAAGAAAGGGCTGGGGTTCCAAACGGGTGTCCCAGCTTAGGATCACCTGAAAATGGACTAGCAAACCAAAATCCGAGTTCTCTTTTCTTCCTGCCGGTTATCAGTTTCCTTCGTCCACTCCCCAGCCTTGACACCATCTAGTCTGATGGAAAAAGAACAAGTCTAAATGGCCATGACTTTGCCTTGAAGGTGCGGGGAGAGGTCTCGGGAATACGAAGGGCCCGCTGCTGCGGGTGCCACTTTCATATTAAGCGACAAGCACGCACGCACACTCTCTTCTGCGATGGGCCGGTGGAGTGTTTAGCTGAGAAGCATCACGCAATGCTCACCCTCATGGGACAGAAGCTGCCTGACAAACTCCATCTATTAAAATCTATTTCTGGTCCTACTCCAGCAGGGTAACTGCCTGGGTTACATTTACTGCCTGCTGCAAAGGCTAAAAATGTTAGAAATAAAACAAGTAAAAGTAAAAAGAAACCCCACATTCTAAAAATGCAGGATCTGAAAGCTAGATTTATTTATTTATTTATTTATTTATTTATTTATTTGCAAGGATTCAAATGTGTGGGTCATGAGTACGCAACACATGCAAGTGTGGAAGCAAAGCTTGCTTTCCAGTGACTATCAGTCCAATGACAGTCCGTATTCAAGGGGCCCTGATGTGTTTTCAAGTTTATGCAGAGTTCCTCAGTGAGACGGGCAGAAATGGCACGAAGGCTTCCCTGAGAGGCCCCTTCCACTTCCAATTCTTCCTCAGTGAGGCAGACTCTCCGAGGAGGGTCGCTGGCTACTCAGTGAAATTGTGAGTCTTGAAGGAGTCACACTGCCCACTGGGAGGGGGGGGTGTGAGAGGGAGAGGGAACACCCTTTGAATGTTGTGTTGGAGTTTTCCAGTGAAACAAGGACACACGAAGGTGTGTCTGTCTGTGAACATTACACTGCAAATGCGTTGCATTAGGAACATTGCTTGCAAAAACTGTGTACATTAGGCAAAACTTCAGTGTGCTTTCTAAACGGATACTTCTGCAAGTGTTCACCATTTTAATGAATACGTCATTGCATGTTATCTGGGGTGGTTTTGTTGTTTGTGTCGGCTTCCATTACCCTTTTGTAAATGGCTTCAGGACTGGTTTTGGGTGTGTGTAGCCATACAGAAATGCATCAGACCGAGCAGCTGCACCGCACCCTGTCCATGCGGCCCCCTCGTTTCACGTTAGAGGCCTGGATCTTAGCCACAGTCTACATCTTGCAGACAACAAGGCGGACAATTACAGCCACCTGAGACCCCGCAGGTGCACGACCTACATTCCCCCGTTATTGCGACGATCTGGGCTCCTCGCTCACTCGCGTGAGGCAGCTCTTCAGCAGAGAAAGCTGCTCCACTCACTTTCCAGATGCACCAAACTAATAATAATGACATTATAATAGATCTTGTAATATCATTTTTATACAGCTTAAAGCAGCCTTTGTTGCCATTGCTAAGAGGCAAGAGAGGAGTAAAGAGAATACCTTTCCAGTTTTACCAAAGAAAATCAGCAGTAATGCCACTTTCAATTTAGTGAGACAGGCTAAATGGATTAATTTGGATTCCCAGCAGATAAACGGGGTGGTGGTGGACGGTGTGGGGGTGGCACTGGTGGGGTACGGAAGAGTAGCTTTCTGATGCATACTCAGTGCAGAAGAGAATGAATGCTGCTTATTAGTAGCCTCGCTTCGTCCTGCGATTCCACCAAGGGCTCGCCCCACCGTTTTATTTTCTGTTTACAGCAGTTCACAACAAGAAGGGAAGATCTAGATCTGGATCCAAATATCTGGGCCTGGTACCTGGAAGAGGGAGATAACACCATCTCCTCTGGATGTTTTCTGAACAGTGGACGATGCTCCTGCAGCAACACAGTTGCTGGTAGCAGCAGGGACCCAATTACAAGGAGGTGGAAGGAGGCAATTCGTCAGGAAAACACTGGGGGTGGAAGGGTTAAATCCCTCTTATCTGAATCCCCGCCCAGCCCAGACACACGGGCAGCTGCTATGAAACATCCCAAAACCTGTGGGGTTCTGCACAGCTTTGTCAGAAAATGTTGGGCTGGAACCACGAGCTTAAAGATCTGTCTGCTGAAGAGGCCGATGCTGTCCAGTCAGCCCCGTCCAGCAGCAGCCTGCTCCTCAGATGGCAATGTTGGCAGCATCTCCTCCATGTGCAAAATTCTGTGTGCGACATGTGCGTCTGGGGGCAGCTGCTGTGTTCATTTTTAGGATGATCCCACCACCTGGAAACTGGGCATGTTCAGCTTCAAGAAGGGAAGACTGGGGGGGGGGGGTGGATATGATGGCTCTCTGTGAGTATGTGAAAGACTGTCACAAAGAGGAAGGAAAGGGCCTCTTCCCATCCCTGAGTGGGGGACATGGAGCAACTAGCTGAAGCTGCAGCACCCCAGACTGAGGCTGGACACAAGAGGGAACTCCCTCACTCGCAGAGCCATATGAACTGGCTGCCAAGAGACGTCATGGGGTCTTCCACTCCAGGGACATTCCAGGTGAAACTGGTTGGGATGGTGTCACTTGGTGCCCTGCACCAGGAGGGGGTTGAACCTGATGGCCCCTCCCACCTCTGCTATTTTATGAACCTAAATCACAGGGAGTGGTAATGCCCCAGGCAGGTAGTGCCATTTTCTGAAATTATTTTGTAGTCACATTGTCCCCCACACCCACCCCTGCACAATGTGCCCCAGAATGAAGCTGCATCCAGGTAATTGTGGGGTGAAGATGGCCACTTACATTCTTTATCAGCAGATCTGCGAAATACCAGCAGGAGAAGTGCTGGTAGGGAGGATGGAAGGAAGGAGGAGGCTGGGAACTCCAAGGAAGGGAAGCGGTGGGAAGGAGTTGAGGTGCATGTACACCAATGCTAGGAGCATGGGTAATAAGCAGGAGGAGCTTGAAGCTCTCCTGGGAATAGGAGGGTATGACCTGGTGGGAATCACAGACACTTGGTGGGATGAAAGGCAAGTCTGGAATGTGAACATAGAAGGGTATCACCTTTTTAGAAAGGACAGGAAGGGAAAGAGGGGTGGGGGTGTGGCTTTATATGTCAGGGAAGGGATAGGATGAAGTGAGAGAGAATGCAGCACAGCTGGGGATTCGGTAGAGGCAGTCTGGGTGAAACTTAGGGGTCTTGACAGGGAAAGGGACCTGACAGTGGGGGTATGTTATCGCCCTCCAGGTCAACTTGAGACCCTGGATGATGTCCTGACAGGCCAGATTCTAAGGATATCTCGGGGGAGAGACACAGTAATTATGGGAGGATTCTTTGCAAGGCTACGGCTGATTACAAGCTGAGACTTGCCAAGAATATCAAGAGCAACAAAAAGGGCTTCTTTCAGCATGTAAATAGGAAGAGGAAGGGGAGACAAGTGGTGGGACCACTAAAGAAAGAGCAAGGAGAGCCAGTGACTGATATGGGGGAACAGGCACAGATGCTAAATGACTATTTTGCCTCTGTGCTCTCCCCAAAGCAGGACGGGGGAGAACCGCATAGGAGATTAGATGAGGCTGAGGACTTGGGGGCACAGATTAGAGTCATCCCCCTTGAAGTTGAGGGGCTCGTCAGGGCATTGGACATTACAAAGGTGCCAGGCCCTGACGTGTTACACCCGGGAGTACTTAGAAAGTTGGCAGGGGTTCTCTCATGCCCGCTGGCCTCCATTTTTGAGACCTCGTGGAGAATGGGTGAAGTTCCAGAGGACTGGAGGGTGGCATCAGTGGTCCCAATTTTCAAAAAGGGTAGTAGAAAGGACATGGGGAATAATAGTCCGCTTAGCCTTATGTCCATTGCAGGAAAAACAATGGAAAGGCTCATAATAGAGAGAGATCTAGTGATGCTAGATAGGGAAGAGAGGCTGACAGCCACACAACACGGCTTCCGCAAAAACAGGTCTTGCCAGACAAACCTTGTGGAATTCTATGACAAGGTTTCGAGATGGCTAGATGGAGGGGATGCAATGGATGTGGTTTACCTGGATTTCAGCAAGGCCTTTGACAAAGTGCCCCATGATATCCTGGTGGAGAAACTGAGGAGTTTTGGGATACACCAAAGCACTGTCCGATGGATTAGGGCATGGTTGACTGACTGAAAGCAGAAGGTAACCATTAGTGGGGAATCATTGGGATGGCGGCCAGTGACAAGCGGGGTCCCCCAGGGCTCTGTCCTGGGGCCGATCCTGTTTAATCTTTTCATTATCAACATGGAAGAAGGGGTGAACAGTCTGCTGATCAAATTCACAGACGACACTAAACCTGGAGCAGTGGCCACAACTGAGGAGCAGGTACTCCAGATCCAAAAGGATCTGGACAGACTGTGGAAGTGGGCAGGAGACAACAGGATGGCATTCAATGTGGATAAGTGCAAGATCTTGCACTTGTGGCATGGGAATGGGTGTCATAAGTACAGGTTAGGGGACAAGTGGCTGGAGAGCAGCACTTGTGAAAGGGACTTCGGGGTTGACTGCAGGCTAAACATGAGTCAGCCGTGTGATGTGGTGGTCAAGAGGGCGAACGCCACCCTTGGTTGCATAGCCAGAAGTGTGGCTTCTAGATCGAGAGAGGTATTACTGCCGCTCTACACAACTCTGGTGCACCCGCAACTGGAGTATTGTGCTCAGTTTTGGGCCCCTCATTACAGAAAGGATATAGTCAGGTTAGAATCAGTGCAGTGTAGGGCCACAAGGTTGGTGGCCAGTTTGCAAGGGATGCCGTATGAGGCGAGACTGAGGGAACTGGGTCTCTTCATCCTGGAGAAGAGGAGACTCAGAGGTGATATGTTGGCGACATACAGGTTTGTGAGGGGATGTCACATGGAGATGGGTAGAGACCTGTTCTCCCCTGCAGAGGAGGGCAGACACGCTCCAACGGAGCAAAGCTCAGGGAGCCTCGGTTCCATTTAGATGCACTTCCATTTAGAAGCTCTTCCTGACAGTCAGGACCCCAGTGGTGTGGAATGGGCTTCCACAAGAGGTCATTGAGGCCCCATCGGTGCGGGTGTTCAAGGATAGGCTGGACGTCCACATGGTGGGCATGTCGTGAGTGGAGCCGGCTGATACCGGAGGTCAGACTAGATGGCCCGGAAGGCCCCTTCTGACTCGCTCTGTTTCTATGTTTCTATGCCTAATCCATCTTCCCCTGCTCCCACCTGGTTCAACAATCCACACTCAAACCCTGCACCTTATCAGCTCTGCAGAAGTCTGAGGTCATAGTCAGAGAACCTCTTCCAAACACTCGTAGCCCGTTCTCAAAGCACTTCTGGACTGGAGGGCTGTGCCATGTCCTCACATCTCCCATGGGCCAAAATGCTCTGTGGAAGGGTTCACATGGTTCTGCAATTCCACAGCTTGTACTCAAAAGCCATTTTTCTCAGACAACCCCCTAAGCCATTGATTCCTGGGGCTGGGTGATTGCCATGATGATGATGATGATGATGATGATGATGATGATGACGACGACGACAACGCACATTGTTTTGGTCTGGGAAGGGAATTTTCACAGCAAATATACAAAAATTGGACCAGGAGCCTACCTTCTTGACAAATGTGTCTGCCAGCCCCTGCTAAAATCCATCTGAAATGAGATTTCCAGGCAAACGTGGAGGTCATTTTTCAAAGAAGATGAAGGCTGACCCGTTCCAACAAGGGCTAAACAGCTGGGAAATGCAGTTGGTGTGGCTCTTTCCATGCTGGCCTGGAGGTCGGGCAAGCACTCCAAGTGTGGACATCCAACAACGAGGGCAGAAGGATCTTATGACCTCATCTCTAGATCTCTGGAAAATCCTTTGGCCATCTAACCACTGTTCAGCACTGCCTATAGCTTGCAAGAGTGACCTCCTAGATGGGGTTCAGTAGTCATTCAGAGGGGTGGGACAGGAGGGGCAAAGCTATGTGCCATCCTGGCATGGCCTTGCCCCGTTCTTCCTGCCCTGAAGCACCTCAGCCAAATGGCCAAAATCAGTCATCTCGCTGAGCTGCAGAGTAGAAAGAGCAGCTGGCCCTACCCAGAGGATCCGGGGCATCCACTTGGATGGCACCCTGAAGTTGCCTTGCAGGATGTCACATGCAGGGTTTTGAAAATTTGACTCACAGGTTGAAACTGGGTTGTGAGGGACCTCCCTGGACTCTGGCTCTCCTGTTTGTCCTACTTCTTCGCATGCTTGGCCCTCGCTCAGGAAGTGTGCAAGACAAGAGGAAGTCAGCAAATGCCTGCAGGATTCCAGTTGTGCAGTGGGCCACTCTCTTCCACAGTGCAAGCAGTGCAAATACAGGCTGGAAGCTGAGTGTGCCCGCACAATACTCAGGCAGGCAATGCTCAGTGCACTCGGCACCAAGCTGCACTCACAGCTGTGAGGAAGCAGAACAGAGTCCCGAGAGCTGAGCCAAGGGAATCCGACGGACCCTCACTCCCAAAGCACATTCCTCCCTAGGGTAATATTCCAGGGACTGCAGCAGGTGTGGAAAGGGAATTTCAGTTTTTCCTGTGCAAAACAGAATCCATGCATTTTCAAATGTGTACAGCAATCATGCACAGTTTTGAAATGTGTGCATTTTAAAAATGCCAGCATGCCACTGGACAGTTTTTAGCCATGGGAGTCTGCAATCACATTGCCAGCTTTTAAACATATGGACTATTACTGCAGCTTGCATCCCAGTTTATGTTTGATCTCAAACATGTGAATTGGGTACAAAATCAAATGGAAAGGATTTTCTCAGACATCCCTAGAATGTGTGGGACTCGTGGAAGCAGCACAACGGCCCCCAAAGGACTGCACAGAAGCAGAGGCAGGGTGCTTGGCAGGTGGGGAGCTGTGAGAACATCCCAGCCCTCCCTCCCTCGCTCCCTCCAGGGAGTCGTGTTCCCCACAAAGCTGCACTGAAGACAGTGCTTCCACATAAAGAATGCAGCTTGCTGCACTGAAGAACCTGTCTGAGCTGGTGGGATGCTGGCCAAGTGCGGGCATGTCTGGAAGCTGCATGTGATCCCCCCACCCACCACTGCACCGTCCGACAAAAACTAATGCAATTAAGATCCCCTCGGCAGATGTATTAAATTGTAGACAAACGTTTTGCTGTTGTTGTTAGTTGCGAAGTCGTGTCTGACCCATTGCAACCCCATGGACAACACTCCTCCAGGCCTTCTTGTCCTCCACCATCTCCCGGAGTCCACCTAAGCTCACACCAACTGCCTCAGTGACTCCGTCTAGCCACCTCATCCTCTGCCGTCCCCTTCTTCTTTTGCCATCTATTGTTCCCAGCATTAGGCTCTTCTCCAGGGAGTCCTTCCTTCTCATTAGGTGGCCAAAGTATTTGAGTTTCATCTTCAGGATCTGGCCTTCTAAAGAGCAGTCAGGGTTGATCTCCTCTAGGACTGACCAGTTTGATCGCTTTGCTGTCCAAGGGACTCGCAGGAGTCTCCTCCAGCACCACAATTCAAAGGCCTCAATCCTTTTGCGCTCAGCCTTCCTTATGGTCCAGCTTTCACAGCCATACATTGCAACTGGGAAAACCATGGCCTTGAGTATATGCACTGTTGTTCGCAGGGTGATGTCTCTGCTTTTTAGTATGCTGTCTAGATTTGCCATACCTTTCCTCCACAGGAGCAACCGTCTTTTAATTTCTTGGCCGCAGTCCCTGTCTGCGGTGATTTTGGAGCCCAGGAAAATAAAATCTGTCACTACCTCCATTTCTTCCCCATCTATTTGTCAGGAAGTGAGAGGACTGGATGCCATGATCTTAGTTTTCTTAATGTTCAGTTTCAAGCGAACATTTGCACTCTCCTCCTTCACCCGCATCAAGAGGTCCCTTAGTTCCTCTTCACTTTCTGACATGAGAGTGGTATCATCTGCATATCTGAGGTTGTTGATATTTCTCCCAGCAATCTTAATTCCAAGTGGTGATTCATCTAGCCCTGCCTTTCTCATGATGTGCTCTGCATATAAGTTAAATAGGCAGGGCAACAATATACAGCCTTGCCGAATCCTTTCTCAATTTTGAACCAATCAGTGGTTCCGTGTCTAGTTCTCATTGTTGCTTCTTGACCTGCATATAGGTTTCTCAAGAGACAAATAAGATGGTCTGGTATTCCCATCTCTTTCAGAACTTGCCACAATTTGTTGTGATCCACACAATCAAAGGCTTTAGCATAGTCAATGAAGCAGAAGTAGATTGTAAGCCTCCCTGAGGCTTCGGCGAATGGGGCAGCATAAAAATGTTTTAATAAATAAATAAATAGATGTTTTCCTGGAACTCCCTAGCTTTCTCCATGATCCAGTGTATGTTGGCAATTTGATCTCTAGTTCCTCTGCCTCTTCAAAATCCTGCCTGTACTCCTGGAAGTTCTCGGTCCACATACTGGTGGAGCCTAGCTTGTAGGATTTTGAGCATCACTTTGCTAGCATGTGAAATGAATGCAATGGTGCGGTAGTTTGAACATTCTTTGGCATTGCCCTTCTTTGGGATTGGAATGTAAACTGACCTTTTCCAATCCTGTGGCCACTGCTGAGTTTTCCAAATTTGCTGGCATATTGAGTGTAGCACTTTTACTGCATAGTCTTTTAGGGTTTTGAATAGCTCAACTGGGATACTGTCACCTCCACTAGCCTTGTTGCTGCTCAGACTTTCAAAGGCCCATTTGACTTCACATTCCAGGATGTCTGGCTCGAGGTCAGTGACCACCCCACCGTGGTTATCAGGGACGTTAAGCTCTTTCTTGTATAGTTCTTCTGTGCAATCTTGCCACCTCTTCTTAATCTCTTCTGCCTCTGTTAGGTCCCTGCCATTTTGGTCCTTTATCATGCCCATCTTTGCATGAAATTTTCCCTTCATATCTCCAATTGTCTTGAAGAGATCTCTGGTCCTCCCTATTCCATTGTTTTCTTCTATTTCTTTGCACCGTTCATTGAAGAAGGCATCTTAGCTCTTCTAGCTATTCTCTGGAATTCTGCTTTCAATTGTTTGTATCTTTCTCTTTCTCCCTTGCCTTTTGCTTCCCTTCTTTCCTCAGCTATTTGTAAAGCTTCCTCAGTCAGCCATTTTGCTTTCTTGCATTTCTTTTTCTTTGGGATGGTTTTAGTTGCTGCCTCTTGAACAATGTTGCGAACCTCCGTCCATAGTTCTTCAGGCACTCTGTCTATCAGATCTAATTCCTTAAATCTATTTGTCACCTCTACTGTATATTCATCAGGGATATGATTTAGGTCATACCTGAGTGGCCTAGTGCTTTTCCCTACTTTCTTCAATTTAAGCCTAAATTTTGCAACCAGACGCTCATGATCTGAGCCACGGTCAGCTCCTGGTCTAGTTTTTACTGACTGTAGAGAGCTTCTCCATCTTTGGCTGAAGAGCACATAGTCCGTCTGATTTCTGTGTTGACTGTCTGGTGATGTCCATGTGTAGAGTCGTCTCTTGGGTTGTTGGAAAAGAGTGTTTGCTATGACCATCGTATTCTCTTGACAAAGTTCTACCAACCTGTGCCCTGCTTCATTTTGTACTGCAAGGCCAAACTTGCCTGTAAATTCACCCATTTGACTTCCTACTTTAGCATTCTAATCCCCCATGATGATGAGGACATCTTTTTTTGGTGTTAATTCTAGAAGGTGTTGTAGGCCTTCATAGAACTGGTCAACTTCAGCCTCTTCAGCACCAGTGGTTGGGGCATAGACTTGGACTATTTTGATGTTGAATGGTTTGCCTAGGATTTGAACTGAGATCATTCTGTCATTTTGGAGATTGTATCCCAGTACTGCTTTTCCTACTCTTTTATTGACTATGAAGGCTACTCCATTTCTTCTGAGGGATTCTTGCCCACAGTAGTATACCTGATGGTCATCTGAATTAAATTCACCCATTCCTGTCCATTTTAGTTCACTGATTCCTAAGAGGTCGATGTTCAGTCTTGTCATCTCTTGTTTGACCACATCCAGCTTGCCTCGATTCATGGATCTTACATTCCAGGTTCCTATGGAGTATAGATCTTTGCAGCATCGGACTCTCCTTTCTCCACCAGATATATCAGCAACTGAGTGTCCTTTCGGCTTTGTCCCAGTCGCTTCATTCTTTCTGGCGCTACTAGTACTAGCCCTCTGCTCTTCCCCAGTAGCATATTGGACACCTTCCGACCTGAGGGGCTCATCTTCCGGCGTCGTATCTTTTTGCCTTTTGGTACTGTCCATGGGGTTTTCATGGCAAAGATACTGGAGTGGGTTGCCATTTCCTTCTCCAGTGGATCACATTTTGTCAGAGCTCTCTGCTATGACCTGTCCATCTTGGGTGACCCTGCATGGCATGGCTCATAGTTTCATTGAGCTACGCAAGCCCCTTCGCCATGACAAGGCAGTGATCCAAGGCAAAGGTTTAGTGTTAACTATTGTGGCCTTTCAACAAGGTATGTTAAGCATGTCTTAAAACAAGGAAACAAGGACATTAAATGGAAAGAAAATGCCTGAATGTATTGTTTTAAGAGGAGCTGATTTACTGCAGCAGGTGATGAGCTGCCTTCAGTCAGCCTGAATTTGCTTCCCATGTGAGCCCGCGCCTTTCCTCTAATGGAGGTTATTTGTAGCCATTTCTCCACCAGTGTGCAGAGTTATAGCTGTGTCACCTCTTCCCATTATAAATGCCTTTCACTTCTGCACCTTTAAGACAACTCACCAAAAGGTCTCGAGAACAGTGCCCATAAAAACACCCCCAAACAGTGTCCTGAATCCCTGACCTCACAGAGGCGTATGTGGCATGGTCCGTGCTCCACAAGGATCCCTCCCGATTTCTTGCTGCTAGAGGCACCCATGTTGGGTGCCATTTTTGGGATCCACATGTGGCAGGCTGTGCAGGTGGAAAAAACGGCAGAGGCGAGCATGATGCTGGGAGAGCAGGCAGAGCTAAAACAAACGCTTTCAGCTTCCCCCTGTGGGGACAGATGATCCAAAGCTGATCTCTCTCTCTCTCTTTTCCTGAGCTCTCTTTTCAGAGAGGAGTTCTGGGTAAAAGGGAGGGATAGACAGACCAACCTCTGCAAAGTGCATGACCCTGACTGAGGGACACCCATCAAACTTTGTTTTGCCAAGGACCTTTCTGAAGGAGGAGAATCCTTCCTCCCAGATCTTTTACAGATGTGCATACAGCACTGAGGTTGAATGGGACAAAATGAGCCACAGCGTTCTTGCAAGTTGCAATGGTGTGACATGAGCACATCAACAGACTTTGCAGAACGCACCGGAGGGATCAAGGTGCCGTCTGAATGGGATGGCATTGAGGTAGGTCATGAAACACGGGCACTCCGGCTGCAAATCCCCATTGCCACAACCTCAAGGGGTCCCAAAGTTCAGAACAAAGTGCTGAGCTTCAGATCAATTCTGTACACACAGAGGTAACTCACCACCACAAAGAAACATTCCTCTGTGAACCTGAGGGGTCTGAAGTTCCCATTGTAGGCCAGTCACATGCATTACAACAGGGACACCACACAATGGAGCATGAATGGAAGGAACCATTTCCCCAGCTGCTGGGAGCAGGGCTGATGCTAGGTGCTGAAAAGATCTGATGCTCAATCCAATAGAAATCAATTTTCACAAAATGACCAATGCTGATTTACATACTTAAATAAATGTTCATAATTAGAAATAAGTACTATAATTTTAATATTGCAAAGGACAAGTAAATTAATCTTTTACTTCCTTTCAGGTCATTCCTATGCAATGTCTCAAATAGTTTTTGCTCAAAATTTACTCTTGGTATGCCCACTCATTATTATGGGGCTTTTCGAGCCTGAGTCCAGAAGTTTTTTCCCCAATTCTAAACAAAAAAGTGGAAATGCATTGTCATTTTGTTCAGCTGCAAACTTATATAGTTACTTGGGAGTAACCCATATGAAACCCAGTAGGGTTTGCTTCCGGATGGATTCCCAGTTGCTCTTCCCTTCCCTTCCCTTCCCTTCCCTTCCCTTCCCTTCCCTTCCCTTCCCTTCCCTTCCCTTCTCATATCCTACCAACAGCAAGCCCAATGGCACTGGACAAGGCCCCAGGATTGGAGGGTACTGCTTGGCTCCACTGCTCCTGGTCCCTGGGCTGGGGCAAGAAGCAGGCAAAGCCCTCCCGAAAGCCGACCCCCGTCCGGCTGCTCAGTACTACTCAAGTCAGTAAAGCTCTTCCAACTCCTGCATATGCAGTCATAATTAACGCATTAACTAAGAAATAATTGGCCATTTTTCATGACAACCCAAATCAGCTGTCTGAGCAGGCTCTGAAGGATGTGTGTGAGAGAGTGTGGATGTGCGTGTGCATGCACGCCTGTCTTTCTCCTAAGGACACCTCTCTTAAGCTATAAGGGATGGAGGGAAACGGGAGGCAGCTGTGCGTAAGAAGCAGGCTAATCCAGAAGGGGTGGGTCAGATGCAGTAGAACTCACTGGGGCCCCCATACATGAATTTTGGCAAGTGCTACAGCTTTTCCAGTTATCTGAAAGACACCATTTTTCAAAATAACTTCCCATACAGTGGCCACCTCTCCATGAAAACCTGGCATACCACAAAAATGTGGGAATATTTACGGTGCTCCAAGGCATTGTGGAGTTCCAACACAACAGAGGAAGAGAACCCCATTCTGTCCCCACATCGATTCACCTTTCTCTAACCCAGTGCAAGCCCTCTTGCCAAGGAGAGCCAGGCACCCACCAGAACTTTTTTCAGGAGGTAGGCTGTGTTTCTGAGCACAGCACAACTATGGGACAATTTTCAAAAAGTGTAGTAGAAGGGACATGCGGAATTACAGACCAGTTAGCCTTACGTCCATTGTACGAAAAACAATAGAAAGGCTCATAATAGAGAGAGATCTAGTGATGCTAGATAGGGAAGGGAGGCTGACAGCCACACAACACGGCTTCCGCAAAAACAGGTCCTGCCAGACAAACCTTGTGGAGTTCTATGACAAGGTTTCGAAGTGGCTGGATGGAGGGGATGCAGTCGATGTCGTATACCTGGATTTCAGCAAGGCCTTTGACAAAGTGCCCCATGATATCCTGGTGGAGAAACTGAGGAGTTTTGGGATACACCAAAGCACTGTCCGGTGGATTAGGGCATGGTTGACTGACCGAAAGCAGAGGGTAACCATTAGTGGGGAATCATCGGGATGGCGGCCAGTGACAAGCGGGTTCCCCCAGGGCTCTGTCCTGGGGCCAATCTTGTTTAATCTGTGCATCAATGACATGGAAGAAGGGGTGAACAGTCTGCTGATCATATTCACAGATGATACTAAAACTGGAGCAGTGGCCACAACTGAGGAGCAGGTACTCCAGATCCAAAAGGATCTGGACTGACTATGGAAGTGGGCAGGAGACAACAGGATGGCGTTCAATGTGGATAAGTGCAAGGTCTTGCACTTGGGGCATAGGAATAGCTGTCATAAGTACAGGTTAGGTGATAAGTGGCTGGAGAGCAGCACTTGTGAAAGGGACCTCAGGGTGCTGGTTGACTGCAGGCTAAACATGAGGCAGCAGTGTGATGCGGTGGTCAAGAGGGTGAACGCCACCCTTGGTTGCATAGCCAGAAGTGTGGCTTCTAGATCAAGAGAGGTATTACTACCACTCTACACGACTCTGGTGCACCCGCAACTGGAGTATTGTGCTCAGTTTTGGGCCTCTCATTACAGAAACGATATAGCCAGGTTAGAGTCAGTGCAGCGTAGGGCCACAAGGTTGGTGGCCGGTTTGCAGGGAAAGCCATATGAGGCGAGACGGAGGGAACTGGGTCTCTTCAGCCTGGAGAAGAGGAGACACAGAGGGGATCTGTTGGCGACATACAGGTATGTGAGGGGGTGTCACATGGAGATGGGTAGAGATCTGTTCCCTGCAGAGGAAGGCAGGACACGCTCCAGTGGAGCAAAACTCAGGGAACCAAGGTTCCATTTAGATGCCAGGAAGCACTTCCTGACAGTTAGGACCCCAAGGGTATGAAATGGGCTTCCACAGGAAGTCGTTGAGGCCCCATTGGTGAGGGTGTTCAAAGATAAGCTAGACATGCACATGGTGGGAATGTCATGAGTGGAGCCAGCTGGATCTGGGGGTCAGACTAGATGGCCCTGGAGACCCCTTCTGTCTTGCTCTGTTTCTATGTTTCTAATTCAGGACTGACCCCATCTGCAAACTGAGATCCTCATGTCAAACTCGCCAGGCACTAGTGGCAAATGGAATTGTTAAATACTAGAAATCCAGGTGTCCGGACATGGTGTACAGGTGCCCTGGACATGCACTCCCACATGGGCAGCCCTGCTGTCGGAAGAAGCTACAGAATCATAGAATCCTAGTAGAGTTGGAAGGGGCCAAGAAGGCTACCGAGTCCATCCCCTGCTCAGTGTAGGACAGTGCTGTCCAGCTGCCTCTTGAATGCCTCCAGTGTGGGAGAGCCCACCACCTCCCTAGGGCATGGGTTCTATTGCCATACTGCTCTCACAGGCTGGAAGTTCTTCCTGATGGAACCTGACTTGCTGTAATTCGAGTGTGTTGTTCCATGTCCTGCACTCTGGGATGATCGAGAAGAGATCCTGGCCTTCCCTTTCATGACAACTCCTGAAGTACCTGAAGAGCGCTGTCACATCTCTCCTTGGTCTTCTCAGAAATGACCAGTTCTGGCTCCTGACTCCTAGCTGAGCAGATCAGAGGGAGCTGCCCCAGCTGATCTAGGGATCACTGGATTCAAGCAGCCAAGCTCCCAGAGAGCAAGAGATCAGAGCAAGAGAACAGGGAGAGCTAATAGGAGCTCTGCAGTGCAGTTCAGTGAGGGAGGTCAAAGAGGACTCCTATGTGGCCCCAGGGGTTTCTTAAGGTGCCCAAAAGCAGCCCTCCTGCCACAAAGGTAACATGAAAGACTGCCAGAGAGAAGCGATCCCCGTGCTTCAGGATGGGGCATGTGGGCTTCTGGCCTTGTCTGCTAACACTTTTTTCATGGCCTTGAAGGCAGGATGGTGTGGCCATTTTTGTCCATGGGGCCTCCATGATCTGGGGAAGCAGAACAGAAAAGCTGCCTGGAATTTGTTTGTCCAAATATGATAGAGGGGCTGCACACAAAACAAAGCAAGCACGCTCTCAGGCAGAGCCGAAACCGAAGGACAGGCAGCCCTTCCGCCATTTATATGGTTCCCGCTTTCTGAGAGCTTCCTGTGGAGAAGACGTGGTGCTGCTTTGGCTACAGTATGCAGGCTGCAAGGGGGCAGGCGCCCCCGCAGCCGGCCTTGCGTGCACGCAGGTCTGCACAACATGGCGCGGCTCCTAAGCACTGCACAGCAAAGGGTCTTGCAGATGGGGAGCTCCAACAGCAATGAAGCAAAAGACCTGGGGGAGCTATTCTGTGTCCCCCTCTTCAAGGGACCCTCCCACCAGCACCACCACTTTCTGGTGAGAAAGGAGAAAGTAGCAGCTGGAAATCTGGAGGGACAGAATAAGGAATTGGCATATCAGCAAAACTCATAGAACATAGAAACATAGAAGCTGAGTGAGCCAGAAGAGTCCTCCTGGACACCTGGCTCCAGCCGGCTCTGCTCATGACATGTCTACCCTGTGCATGTCCAGCCTATCTTTGAACTCCCTCATTGATGGGGCCTCAGCCACCTCCCATGGAGGTCTATTCCATACCTCGGGGTCCTAACTGTCAGGAAATGCTTCCTGGCATCCAAATGGAACTGTGGCTCCCTGAGCTTTGCTCTGTTGGAGCGCATCCTGCCTTCCTCTGCAGGGGAGAACAGGTCTCTACCCACCTCCATGTGACACCCCCTTACATACCTGTATGTCACCAACATATCCCCTCTGAGTCTCCTCTTAGAAACATAGAAACAGAGTCAGAAGGGGTCTCCCGGGCCATCTAGTCTGACCTCTTCTCCAGTCTGAAGAGACCCTCAGTCTCGCCTCATACAGCTTTCCCTGCAAACCAGCCACCAACCTTGTGGCCCTGTGCTGCACTGATTCTACCCTGGCTATATCCTTCCTGTAATGAGGGGCCCAGACCTGAACACCATGTGTCCAGCAAAGGTCTCCAAATTATACTTTACAGCTCAGCTCATTTTGTGTGTATATCACATTTTATTTTACTTTTCTCTTTGCATGAAAATTGGTGTGCGAATCCCTGAAATGTGTGCCACAAAGGGAGAATATCAGCAAACAGCGAGGAAGTGAAGGGATAGCGTCGGGAAGGTTGACGCAGGAAACAAGCAGAGGCTGGCTAAGAGCAACAAGAAAGCATTCTTCAGCTGCGTCCAGAAACAAAAGATGTGAGTGAGCGAGAGGCGTCCAACTACTTCAACTGGATGGCAGAGTGATAACAGACCATGAAAAGGCAGAGCTGCTCGGTCCTCCTTCACCTCCCTCTTCTCCCACAAGAACATCTGCAACCAAGAGGAAGTACAAGCTGCAAGTGAAAATGGCAGCCCAAGGTTGACAGACAAATGGTCAAGGAATATAGCTAGATGGAATAAGCATGTTCAAATCTCCAGGGCCCGACGAACTCCATCCCAGAGCCATAAACGAGTTATCAGAGGCACTCTCAGAACTGCTGAGATTTATTTGGATAAATCCTAGAAAACAGGAGAAGTGCCAGATGACAGGAGAAGGGCTAACATTGTCCCCATCTTCAAAAAAGAGAAAAATGATGAACCTGTAGACTACAGACCAGTTAGTCTGACATCAGTTCTGGAAAAATTCTGGAGCCAGTTACTTAAAATCAGTCATCAACCATCTTGAAGAAAATACAGTGATTAACAGAAGCCAACAGGGGTTTATCAAAAATAAATCCTGCCAGACTAATTTAATCTCATTTTTTTGACTGGGTTTCTTCTCAAGTGGACAGGGAAAACACTGTGGACATAATCTACCTCAGCTTTAGCAGAGCTTTTGACAAAGTACCCCATGACATCCTAAGAAGCAAATTACCAAAAGTGGACTAGATAGAAAAACTATTAGGTGGATTCAAAAATGGCTGCTTAATTGAACACAAAGGATACTTACTCATCAACAGCAACTTCTCATACTGGAGGGAGGTAACTAGTGAGGTGCTGCAGGGTTCAGTCCTGGGCCCAGTGCTCTTCAACATCTCTATTAATGGTTTACATGACAAAATACAAGGAATGATAATCAGGTTTGCAGGCGATACAAAGCTGGGTGTAATAGCGAACACCCTCGAAGACAGAATGAAGATCCAGGGTTATCTTGATAAGCTTGAACTCTGGGCTGAAACCAACACAATGAGATTCAACAGGGACAAGTGCCAAGTCCTCCAACTAGGGAAAAGAATGCATCAATACAAGATGGGAGTTACGTGGCTGAACAGAACTGAAAAAGAAAAAGACCTGGGAGTCACTGTGGACAACAGGATAAATATGTGCCAACAATGCAATGCAGCTGCAAAAAGAGCAAATTCTCTTTTGGGATACATTAACAGAAGTATTACTTCCAAATCACAAGAAGTAGTAGTTCTCCTATGCTCCTCACTAGTCAGACCTTATCTGGAATAGTGTGTCCAGTTCTGGGCACCAAGATTTCAGAAAGATGCAGAAAAATTAGAAAGGGTCCAGAGGAGGGCAGTTGGGATGATCCAGGGACTGGAAACAAAGCCCTATGAGGAGAGACTGAGAGAAGTGGGCATGTTCAGTCTTGAGAAGACTAGGGAGGGGGGCATGATATCACTATATAAGTACTCCCAAGGCTTTCGCAAAGGGGAAGGACAAGATCTCTGCTCACTCATACCAGAGTGCAGGACACACTCCGAAATCAGTTCAAGCTGCAACAACCCAGATTCAGGCTGGACATCAGGAAAAGCTTCCCCCCTGTCAGAGCAACCTGACAGTGGAACCAGCTGCCTAGAGAGGTGGTGGGCTCCCCCACACCAGGGGTATTCAGAAAGAAGTTGGACAGCCATCTGAGTGAAATGGTGTAAACTGGTATCCTGCACTGAGCAGGGGGGTGGACTTGATGGCCTTCTTGGCCTCTTCCAACTCTGCTGTTCTATGATTTTATGGTTCATTGCTTAAATAGTACTCATTTTCAAAAGGAAGCATTTTACAGGTTCACGTTTTTCAAATATCAAAAGCAATTTTTAGACATATTTTGACCACAGAATGCATTTAAGTGTGTGTTCGGGCCAGAAAATAAAATCTTGGTAAATTCTGATAAAAATAATGAACTGTAAAGGAGTTTTCATTCATCCCTATCTAAAATTGGACTCCTTGTAAACTTATATGATATATGAAAGGTGTCTGCATGACAAAGCTTCATCTAGAAACATAATGGGCAGACAAATCCTTTCCTGGATGATAGTCAGAATTGTAAACTGTGTGGATTTGCAGAGATCTTCCCACAGGGATACCCTTCTGCATGGCAGGTACAACAGGTAGTTCAGGTGTTAGCTGTTGGGGCAGCCTCGGGTCTTAGACAAGGAGTTACTTGCAATAATAGGAAATACCTTGCACAGGTTAGATGCACTGCACGATTGGAGCCGGCTGAAGGCTGCAAATGCATATCCTACTACCAGATCCTTTTGGAACCAAGCACATGTTCAACCACATCGTTCAGGAAAGCAACTTGCTGCCATTCATTTTCTCAAAAAACTAGAGCAAATGTTTTGAGGAGGGCTTCAGTTTCTGGGTTTCTCTATCCACACACACCTGTTCAGATACACACTTTCATCTCCAGGGAAGAAAAGAATCAATTGGATATCACTTTTAGGCCAATGACCTTGAGACAACAGATATGCCTTGCAAAGCAGCTTTTTTACAATGCAGAAGCCACCACAGTATGTTAACTGTTTTAGTTGTGGTGTTACTCAGAACCATGTCTTTGCTCCCAGCCATGATTACCACTCTGCCACAGTCACATTTCCAAGAAAATGGTCAAAAGTAGCCACAGCACAGACCCCCCTTCCTCTGGCTTTCCAGCACTAAAGGGCCAGTAGAAACCCTCTTGGCATGTGAGCTTTGTGTTTACCACTGGAAATTTGAAATACAGATACACAGACAAGTTTGGTATC